GAGTGAACTCCGTTTTTTCTATTTTAAGTTTGTTATATCAACTAATGAAGTCCAAATAATACTAGTTTCTCCTTTATTTTTATACGATATATTTTTTTATTATATTGATATGCAAAATCTATAAAAGAAATTGTATAATTTTTGAATATCTAATTTTTTTGTTTAAAATATCAAATTAATGTAGTCTAGTATAGCTTAAAAAATTAGTGAGATTGATTTTCGAAAATCACAACATGACAAATAAAAATGAATATTTTATAAACATGTGTCTATGTTCTTTCAAATGCATCTTTTTCAAAACGATATAAATGAATTGTCTTGTTTTATGCGTTTGTGCTCCATATTCACGAAACACTTCACCCGATCAAGAAACATAAAATTGCGAGTTTTGTTGCTTCAAAAGTATGTGGGTATCCTATTTACTTTTGATGCCCATGTTGGGAGTCCCAACCCACTTGAGTCTCTCGTAATTTCATTCCCAAGAAAGGGTAAATGTGGATCGCTCCTCTTTTTATAGAAGAGACCAGTCAATAAGTTTTCTGGCAGACATCACAGCTTCCCTTTTCTTTTTTCCAGTTTCCACTCATAAGAAACTTGAAATTGAACTCCAATCTTCAACCACAAGTATCTTTTTCAACTTTTTATGCTATAATCAAATTACTTATAAGATCAACTGCACTTCAATGTCTTGAAAAACTCTGTTACTATGATACTATCAACTTCTTTTTTGAAAACTAAATAAGACAAAACCTTTGTGGTCCTTAGTTTTGTTCAGTTGTTATCTAGAGAGTTACATGACTCAAAAAACATTAGCACTGAAGTTGGACGGGAAAGGGTTAAACAGCAAAACACAAGCAAATAAATTATAAAAAAACAAAAAAAAATTCCTTTTAAAGATTGGTGGAAGTTTTGTCTAGGCTTTTGTCACACAACTTTGGCGTGACAATTTTGACAAATCTCTAAACAGAAACACGCCACTAATTAAGGGGAGCTGCTAATTCTTTTCTATTTGTATAAATATAATGACCCTATCTTCCTCGATCCTCAGTCAATCAAGCCACTCTTTTTATATTTTTTTTGTCAAATATATCTTTCGTTTGGAACTGGAAAATCATCGGTTGAATGATGACCCAGAAAGCAGTCCACACTTGTCCACAAATTCTTAAAATATGAATGGACTTTTGCCTTTTCAATTATTGGTTGCCTTATAAAGGCAGATTAAGACACTTCTATTTTACATCAAAAATAGATATAATAAAATGGATGGTAAAAATAACTCCACAGTGACCGGCAACTTATCCCATTGTTTTTGTGTAAGGGATTAAAAAACATTGTTTACTATTACAATAACTATCAAATACATTGATACTGAATTAAAAGAACATCCAAAATTCACAGGACTTGTGTCTTTTTAATCCTACAGTAAAAACCTGAGGTCATGTTTTTTTTCTTTCACACGAATTCTTCACTGTCTTCAGCCGGAAAATCGAAATTTAAGGGAGAGACAGGGGAATTACTTTTGATGTCATCATGCATGAACCCAAAGTTACGTAGCACCTGATTATCCGCAAAGTTCAACGCTCGTTCCATTCCCACCCAACATGAATCACCCACATACTCCGTCGCGTGGTCCCCACTACATGGCTGACACCCCGTGAAGTGCGTGATAAACGGCCGCCTCCATCCGCCCTTTTCGTCAGCGCCCTCCGCCAACAAGGGCTCCCACGCGGCCGCGTAGCTGTGGCTCACAGCCTCCGCGTGTCTCCTCCGTAACTTGGGTACATCTCTCTCTATCTTCATGTAATTCGCTGTTATGTTTTCAAATCTGTTTACTATTCCTAGCCAGTATCCGTGTAGAGAGTAATCAGTAATTGCGTGAATTTTGCTCCGCCATTTTTGTTCTCCTTTCAGTATTAAATAGCTCAGTGCGGATTGGTCGTCGGACTCCGGGAACGTTTTGTCCTTGAAAGTTGTTCGTAAGATTTTGCCCCATTGCTTGTATTCTGGGCTTTTCGGGCCCATATTAGCCCAAACATCTAAGAAATCCATGGACCATTGACAGTTTCGAATAAGAAAAATCCCAGCATTTATAGCGACCCAGCTTTTCTTCTTAAAAATCAAATCAGGCCAGCCGTGGACGATGAAGTTGTAGTCATTATATTTGTGTAATGGAATTTTGAAATCCATGTCAGTGAAGATTGCATCTGAGTCAACCCATAGAATCCACTCGGATTCAGGATGAGCCAGCATGGCGGCCCGAACAAGCGGTATTTTCGCCCAATAAGAACGCATTTTAGGGTGAAAAAACGTGTTTCCGTAGAAAATATCGTAGCCATGGATTCTACAGTAGTCAACTTTGTTTTTAAAAAACCTTAACAGTAAATGATCACCTCTAGGGTTTTTGCATGGTGTGGGCTGTGATCCTGAGAGGAGGAGCACACGGTTAACTCTTCCGGCGGCGAACGAAGGATGAAGCTGCAGCCACTGAACTCTCTTTTCGTCCCAATTTTTTATTGGTTTGTCAATAGTGTAACTGAGTTCCGGGTCATTGTAGAATGTTTTCTCCGGCGGGTCGGAACTCCGGTCAACAGCTTCCCGTCCCGGTGGGCAATATTCGGGTGAACTAATATTCTGATTGTATAATAAACCTGATAAATTAGGCAAAGGATCAGTAAATGACCAAATAGCACAGACAAGTAGAACCGCAACTATGACGGCCGCGAACAGAGATTTGTCTCTCGGAGAAGACGATTGCTGTTTGGCCCGAAACACGTTATGGGCCATGGCCCGTTGTGAATGAAAAGGAAAGATACTGAAACTATGGTATGTGAGTGAGAAGGTCTCAAAGTCACAAGGAATGCAATGTGAAATTTAATGTATGACTGGCACAAGAAATAACAATATGGAGGTAGTAGCGTATTATTATTTATATTAGTGAGCTGGATGAATCTGACTGGTCATTTAATTTGTGGGTTGGGTAAGGGAAGTTACTGTAAATAAAAATGGAAAAAAAATAATGGTAGAATCAAAGAGAAGGAATAATATTTAGTATTATAATAAAGTTGGGCCTAGCATCTTATAAGGAAACTAAGATCTGTAATTAATTCCCTCACTTGCTTTGCTTTGCTTATAAAAATAAAAAATAAAAATTGACAAAATGGGCAGGCCAGGAGGATTTAATGGCAAGAGTATAGGTGGGAGTTTTTAATCTTATGTAAGGGTTGAGATTTGTGGACTGTTGAGACTGTTTCCATGTGCAACATGAATTTGTATGGGGAAGAGTAAAATATAGTTTCTAAATTCTTCCATTTTATGACTTTGGATTGAGCAAATTGAGGACTTGATTCTCACGCCTAACCTTTTTTTAAGAAATATTTTTCTTGTGATTTTCCAAGTAAAAGATGGCGCGAGTAACATAGTCGCAAAATTTTTGTAAACACATATTTTTTTATGATACTTTAGCGAATATTGCTATAATTATTGAATTGTGAAAATGATTTTTTAATGTTAAGCTAAGTGATATCATATTCAGACTCTATCTCAATTATTAATCTCTTTGATCAATGATGGACATTTTCACTTCTAAAACGCTTGTATAAATTACAATATTCATACTTTTTCCTTTTCTAGATATAATCCTTTGAGCGGACCAAGTAATCGTATTTTTTCCCCCTCTGTTTTGTGTTTTTCTTTATTAGTACTACTATAATAATCCTTGTTACAGAACTGGTCTCTGTTTGGTGTTATTATTATCACTAATTTTACCTATAATAATGCTCTTTACTGTTGACAATTTTTGTTGATAATTTGAAAAAGTGGTAGTTTCCACTTTCCACAAGAGCAATAGTGCATATATTACCTAAATGAGGTGCAACTTTTCTTGTGGCGGCTAGTGCCTAGTAATAGTAGGAACAAGTATTGGAATATGTTAATATTATTGACCAATGATAAGTAATAGAGCATTGATTTTTGGGGATAAGAACAAAACAATCTTAAATGGGTGCAAACCCCACCTCTTAGTACAAAAATAACAAGAAAAGGATCTGCCTCAGCAGTTTACGCCATACCTTCCGCTAAGCTAAGATCCTTAATTCCTGGAGTTGACTTCCTCTCTAACTTTGTGGAACTGCTTATCAACTATCCAAAAAATAGTTATCTTTATCACTTAATGTAATTTTATGATAAAAAATTTATATGCAAGCATTTATTATAAAAGAAGATGATAAATGTCCTATCACAACTTTGGCCTGTTTGGGCATCAAAGTTTAATTTCGATATTTTGAAATACAAATTCAGTAATATGAAAATTAGGATGTAACCTACTGTAAGAAGCGTTTTAGAGAAATTACTACTTTTTAGTAGGCAGCCGCTCCTTTGGTGGAAAGATGAGGAAGGATTGTGGTGATGAATAAAATTCCTTCATTCTTAATTATAAGATTTAATTTTGAGCCCTACGTAAAAAAAAAAATGATGTGTTTCTCCTTTAAATGAACCTTACGGGATTGAAAGCCACAAGTGGAGCGACTAATGGCCAGGGTTCATCCGAACATGATGTTGAGCCCCTTTGACTTCTTTGTAATAGTGAAGAACAATTCTTCCTTGCGGCCTCACAAATCTTACAAGTGGGCTTTCCATTTACACCCACCAAACAAATTGTCCCATTTACAAGCCGGTTGAGTTGTGTCTGGACAAGGTTTTCTATAACAACTTACAGCCCAGATAAATGGCCAATAGCCCAAACTAAGAGTGCATAATGTAATCCATGATAAGTTTTCATGATCAGCCGATCAAAAGCTTCCATCCTTCTTTATGGAGTAAAGTTATTACTTCTACTAACAACGTTTTCATACTTCCAAATATTCAAATCCATGCTTCTTTTCTGTTTTCCATCTTTCTAAGGTTTTTGCCTCCAATAACATTTTGAAGCTGAGGCCACGTGATTCTCAATTCACTTCATTCAGTATCTAACCACACACATGTTGTTCTTCAAACTCTGAAAATTCTTAAAACAAGGTTTCTCCAACATTCATTAAGGTATATATATGTCATCAAAATAATATGGATTAAAGTTAAATTTACAATACTAGAAGACAACAAATCACTAAATTAACTACTATTTAGTGAACATTTGCTACTATAAAAAAACATGCCTCAGAGTTGTGAAAGAACAAGACAACCTCTTAAAAATTTGTCAGCAGTTGTATATTTCAACATTTTCACTTTGCAGTGACCCTTTTTTAAGCAGTCAGTCAAGTTTTCTTATCCCTCGACCAAAGAAATGAAGCTTTCAATTCTTGTTGCCACCCCCAGTTGACTTTGAGCTACCACCAACCAACCGTTTAGCCATTCTTCTTTGTTTTTGTTTGTTTTGTTTCAGGCAAGAATCTGCATCATCTGAACAATGGACACTAGCTAAAAGTTCTATACATAGACGGTTTAAGTACACTAACAGGTGTAAAATTTTATTTCCAAAGCCAGGAATTCAAAAAAAATGTTCTCCTGTCTCAACTTCTTTCATATATATGCAAAAAAATCATTTTTCCCCTATCTAAATTGTGTAATTTTTCAACCAAGGTGAGGGGGTGTTCAATTGACCCCTTGCACGGTTGCACCCCTCTGGCTCCGCCCCTGCCTCCACTAGATATAAGTTACGATATTCAAAGTGAAATATAAGGAGCTAGACAAGAAAACTATAGCTATTGAGATTTTATTTTTTTTCTAACTCCTCAAAGCCTACCTGTCTCGTTGGCATTTTGTCGAACACCTTGTGGCTCCTCATCTGGCGTACTCACATTTACACCCTCTAGATCACTCTCTTCAGTAGGCAACAACGGCCCTATTATATTCTGGCGGCGTGAGGAAGCTTCCTTAAGCTTCTTCCGTCGAATCCTCTTCCTCTGTGCCCTTGTTAGCTTGTCAGGACCATGATTAGTCTCTTGGTCGCCAGAGGAGGAAGAACCCCTATCCTCTTCCAGTTCATCTGCACATAATACTCAATTATTTCAAATACATTTGTCAATCAAGAAGTGCAGAGACATCAAAATTATACCCATGTTAGCAAGAAAACCTGGAATTTGATCGCCTTGTTGGAGAATGTCAAATGGTTCGTCGTCATCGTTTTCTTCCTACAATAATAATATACTCGGGGTAGAATCAAGTAGTATGAAAGAAGAAAAAACAAACAGCGAGGGAGAAAATTAATTACTTGGGAAGGAGGTGATGGTGGGGGAGGATAGAGCATCCTAAGGAGCCTTTCATGGAGCTTTTGCCGTTTCTCTTCTCTCTTCATGCCGAAGCTAAATTTATTTTTACCACGTTTTCTCTTCACTTGTAATGTATCCCAATTGAAATACAATTATATTTCGTAAATTTACACGTGCAATTCATTTCTCTCCTTCTTTCTCTTTGTCTCTCTCTTTATTTAACGCTTAGCTATGAATTATAATTATTTTATCAAATTATGTTTTTAGTCTTAGTGATTTTTGAAATTTCCTCTAAAAAATTGTACTACTTGTTATAACTAAAGATCAACTCAAAATGCTTCTTGTGTCAGTAAGGTTAAAGATTATAAATTTAGACAATGTTGACATCTGATATAAAGCTAAGAGTAATCTTTTCTTACTTTTGCACTATAAATTATTTCACGGAGAATGCTTTTATCTCTTTATGTATACATGAAAACTTAGAAAGCATGTGTTTATTCTGTTCTTTATTCTTCATTTGGAAGTAGGACTTTTAAACTTTTTGATCCTAAGGGCTCGTTTGAATGGACTTAATAAAAGCAGCTTTAAAAAAATACTTTTAAAAGTGCTGAAATTTATTTTTAAAATAAACACTTATGCGTTTGGATAAAAGTGCTGAAGTTGCTATGTCAAACGTGAAAAGGGAAAAATGGAAGAAAGAGATATTAGGGTTAGGTGGGTATTTTGGATAAAAGTGCTGAAGTTGCTATGTCAAACGTGAAAAGGGAAAAATGGAAGAAAGAGATATTAGGGTTAGGTGGGTATTTTGGAGATTGTATAAAAATATTAAGGGCAAAAAGATAAAAATGTGGTAAACTTAAAACAACTTATAAGCTAAAAAAAAAATACCCCTACCCCAACTTTTACACCCCTACCCCAACTTTTAACTTTTGGCTTAAAACAAGTTTTTTTTAAACTTAAAATAAGTTATTTTAAGTATTGTCAAACAGCTAAATAAGTCAAAAACCAATTTTTAAGTCAGTTTGACCAGCTTTTAAGCTGAGTCAAACAGGCTTAACTCATATAAATTGAATTTTTATGCATTAATCATTTTGAAACTAACGTCACCTCACCTAAAACAATTAATTGTTCACAATAAGTGAAATTAGTAATTTAAAAAAAAATAATATAAATGACCTGTTTAATGGAAATGTCTAATTTTTTTAAACTAATGAAATCCACTTTTTTTTTTCTTTTCTAAACTTGTTTATTCATGTACATCCAGTTCCAATTCTTTGTATGATATCCTTTTCAGGAATTCAGGGGAGGGGGGTGTCTAAACTCTAAACCAAAGTGCAAGTCATTATGATTTGCTGAATTAATTAACTAATGCTGCAGTTAATATAGCAATTAAATGGAATGTGTCATGATTATATGCATATGCAAAATTGCTTCTTGTTGAACCACAATACTTTTTATTTTAAAAGAATAGTTTGTGCCCACAGCACATTGCGGCTGAGCATTTAAAAAATTAAACGTGAATATCATCAAAACCTTCCTTCTTAATTTTTTTTCCTTAGCTCGATATTCGTATTTGGATTTTTAATAATTTAAATCATATAGTACTTTAATTACATCATAATATATATTGTCTTTATTCTTGATTATTGCCTCCTTATCATCATTAAACGATTACGATAAACTTGTTTAAAAGGCATTTCATAATAATAAAATTTAAATATTTTTGTTTTATTGAAAATTTATAAAATTGAAGTCGAAGATAGAGTTATATTTAATTGTAATTTGTTTTTGCTAAAGAGAGAAGATAAATAACAGTTTGTTTGAAAATTTTAAAGTTGAAGTTGAAAAGCAAGTTTAAAGCACTTCTTAAAATTTCTCAAAAATCATAATAAAATGAAAAATTATTCTAAAAACAAAAAGAAGTGTTTAACTCTCATTTCTCTTGGCACAACGGCTCGTCAATCTCTATTATTTTCTCAAAGATTATAATCAATTCACAAACATGATTACGAGGACAGATAGAATATTACGGGAAAAAAGTAAATTAATAAAAAAATTCTAAATATTAGTATAAAAATTTACTGAAAATAATTTTTTTACGAATTTTCACATTAACCTTAAAAAGGGTCCCATATAATTCCTGTAATAGAAAATGTCATCAACTTTGTTCGACTAATATTTAAAAATAGAATTAAGTCACCTAACAAGAGGTAGGCAAGAATTTTTAAGGCAAGACATCAACTTGCCACTTGCCAGTAGAAACACTTATCTTTCAAATTTCTCTGATTATATTTCAGAAAAAAAAAATATTTTGCACAAAAAATTAGAAAACTTTTCAGCGAATCAATAAACATTTATTTTTCATTATATTTTTTTCTTTAGTGAGCTAGTTCAATAATGTGTAGAATACTTATATTTTATGATAACAAATTTTGTATTAATTTAGGTCGAGCAAACGAGTGTTTCTATTTCTACTAGTATACATACTCTAAGTAGTGACAATACAGGTAACAGAATTTATTTTTAAAAAATAAAAAAAAGGGTTGGTTGGTTTACCCGTGACGATTGAAGTGGACAACTAAAATCAATACTGTAATTTAAGAGAGGTTATTTGCACATAATTAGACTTGAACCACTTTTCACCTGTCATAATTTATTATGCTTACCTCCTCTCCTATCAAGTGGTTAAACTAATTTAACATTTTTTAATATCCACATTAACTATCCTTAAATCTTGATATCTATGAAAAACCTCATTGCCTGCTAGGTTTTTGTCAACATCACTTAATAAATGAGAAACTTAGTCCAACAAACATTTTTTAGGGGGTTTAATATAGGAAAAAGTGTTAAACGATCAGAAAATTTTAAAGAAAATTATAATATATTTCTAATTCTAAAATAAATTAATTTTTTCCCATTTATAGCTAAAAGGTATTAAAGTTAAAAGGATAAAAATATTTTAAAAGATGAAATAACATTAAAAAATTATACGTATCATTCTGGCGAAATTAACTGGCGAATTTTTTTTTTCCATAGTTCAAATTTATCTATTTTACTACAATTCTTTATGTCATATCATTAATTAACATATAGAAGTTCTCTCATGCTAGTGATAGAATCTTGAGATACCATCCAGTGTTCGATTTCTACTAAAGCCTCTTTTTAAAATCAATTTAAAAAAACAGGTCATTAGTTAAAATCTTGCAAATATTTCTTTGTTGAGTAAGGGCAATAGAGTACAAATTAAAAGGAAAAGATATTATTTTTTTTATCTTAATTTATACAACTTATATTATTTTTGAGACTTAAAAGTTTATATTTAATGCATGAAATTTTGAGAAATATATATAGTTGTAAAGTACTTAAGAAATATTATAAATCATAAATATTTAACTATTTAAAATATTTAAAAAGTATATAAAAAATCAACCTTATATAGGCTCAGTTGGTAATGACATACATTTTTTTTAATAATTTGGATAGAGAACTATAGTTTTTACGCAGACATTTATTTTTAAAAAAATTAAGAACTGACATTTTATTATCATCTGCGACGCTAATTGCACAGCGGAGGACACTTTAGGGCACCGGACAGATCTTGTCATTAAGAACTTTTTTGATGAGAAAACAGGAGAACGTGACAAAGAAGACTCGCTACATTATCCGAGTTAATATTTTAGATAATTACTCGATTAATAATTTTTATCTTATAAATTCATTTTTTCTATAGAAGAAAATGAAATTTATAAAATGTTTATTAGTAATAATTATTAGTTAAGCGATTACGGGTAGAAATCAAAGCGATCATTATACATGCAAAGTGAAGATGTATATGCAACAACAGCGAAAGAGAGAGCATAACAAAAACAACCCAAAGAAACAGTCAAGCAGATAATTGACAACAGCAAGCCTTGTTTCCTTCTTCCAAATTCTCTTCCTCTGTTTCAGAACACCCCTGTTTTTCTAGAAGAAACAGCACAGCTTCTACTTCTCAGAAACAAATCTGTATTCACTTTCACATCGTCACCAAAATCACATGGCTTATCTTCATCGATTCTTCCAATTGCAACAGATCGACTCCGTGGCACCGCATCAACATTTTTACTAGCAATTGATTTTTGTCTCAGAAGCTCTGTTTCCATTTTGTTTACCAGACTTTTTCTGGAAGCAATTCGCACCAGCTCCCTGAAATCTTCGTCCCTGCTACTAGATACAGATGAATTGACACTGAAACTTCTCGGTAAAGCAGAGATTTGTGGAACACCCATAACACTGCCATACCCAATTTTTCCAGAACAATCCATCAAGCTATGGACGTAACAGTCTCTTGCTTTAATTAAAACTCTAATTGGTGCTTTTATGCACCTCGTGAGTCTACTCTCTTTGCTTCCCTTGTTTGTACTCATTTTCAAACTTTGATATCCAAGAATTTGAATCGTCGAATGTTGAGTATTATTGGCAAATACAGATATGCAAGAAAAAAGGACTGATAAGAAGAAAATAAACAAGTGGGGAGAAAACAGTTTAATGCTTTAATGAATGAAGACACTATACTGGTGGGAGTATTTATAATTTGTTCGTTGGGACAGATTGACATGAAATAAGAATATAAAAAAAGGTTCGAAAAGGATTTGGCTGATAGAAAATATATAAAGAAAGAAGCAAAGAGTATTTATCGATAAAGTAAAAATTCAGATAATTAATTAAATAAATTATTAAAATTTTCGTACTAAAATAATATTTTTAACTTGAAAATAAACAGGTTTATGTGGGACGTGATGGCCAAAGAGTTCATAATGAATAAGCGGAAAGGAAGAATAAAATTATGGCTGAAGTATGGACCATGTCAAATACAGTTTAATGTTCAATATATAATTAAAAAAAGATAACACGCCGTAATCGAGATGGCAATGATGATTAATTTAAGTAAATATTTTGTTAAACAGTGCACGCATAGGTTGAATTTTCGTATTACTAATAATGTTAATGACGATTGACGACGGAGAAAGGAACATAATATAATATTAATAATAATAAGAAGACTTGGAATTGCATTTGCAAAATGAAAAAAGAAAACATTTTTTTCAAATTCCCCAGTCAACGTGAGAAGAATACGTGCCATTTCATATTTCTTTAAGCTCACAATAGATAAAAATTAAAAGAAGATAATATCAACTATTTCTTGAGTCAGTTGTCGTTCAAATGTAGAATTGACATTTTTGTTTTCTCATGTTACTATTAGTAATAGTTTTGAACAAATTCTTGTAATTATTGGTAGAACTGACATAGAGATTTCTAATTACATAATTTTCATATATTATTTTACATTTTAAAAATATTTATTTTTTAAAAATTCAATTTTTAGGACGAAACATGACTAAACGCCTACTTAGGCCAAATATTTCAGGATCCGAAATTTAAAGAATAAAAAAATTTGATAAAAATTTTAAAACGGCATATTAAAAAGAAGGGAAAATTTCATATATGAATTTAATCAAAGGGGTAAAATCACTACGAATTTGTCCTTCTTAGTTTTGTAGTGCGAGGTCTAAAGTCAAACATAGCTTATGGCCTATTTATGAATTCGGAAACTTCAATTTAACTAGAAACAGTAAAACTTAAAGCAAGTAATTATGCAATGTGTACAAAAAATATTACACATTGGAATATATAAATTATATAAAAAAAATTATACAACTTGGAATATATAAATTATAAATTATAAATTAGCTTAGATTGAAAACAAATGTTGAATGCGCCTTAATATGTGTTTTGTTATAAATTTGTAATAATTTCGTGATCTCTATGAATGATGAATTACAAATTCAGTTGGAGTATTCATCTGTATTTTTCTTCAAAAAAAAATATTTTTCATTGAAAACATGTGAAATGATTGGCAGTGGCTTGGCCAACTCGGTCGAGATTTATTTAATTAAAAAGAGGACCAATATAATTAAGAGGGAAAAGGACCGCTAATTCATGTTTATTTGAGGACAAAAAATATTATTAGAGGTCTGGTGGACCTTAACTTAGCAGCACAAGGCAAAGTCTGCAATTTTTGTGAGTTAAATAATTTATCTCTTTAAAATTTAGTCGTAATGGCTATTAATTAATAATACTTCATATAGAGAGAGAATAATAAGATGGGATGAAGGGGTTTTCATGGAAAATTGACAAGCCGAATCCAATAAAATTTTTAAAATGAATTGGAATTTCTTTTAATAATGATTTTGGAATTTGAAATATTTTAAACCAACAAAATTCAAATCAAATTAATTACTCCAATAAAATAATTTTACATATGCTCACACATCTAGTAAATAAATGCATATATTTGTTTTATTCCTATTATTATTGGGAAGAAATTGTTAACTCGTTTGTTCAATTGCGACATCTAGTAACTATAGACATATATTGAAGTCATTTCATTGCCATAATAATAATAATAATAATAATAATAATAATAATAATAATAATAATAATAATAATGTTTATTTGATTTGCATTAGTTTTTTTTATTTTGATATGTAGATTCAAAAAAAAAATTAGTCTCCTATTTTGAAATGAGATCACTCCACAATTAAAGTTTTTATAAAAGATCAATCACATAATTATTTAACAATTAATCAATCTTATTTAAAAATATGATAAAACACCAAAATCGAGAGAGAGAAAAAAATAAATTCTAATTCAATATAAAAAATAATTCTTCATTTAACAAATAACTTACTTAATTGATCACATTTTAAATAATATTGATTCCAACCAAATCATAAACATCCCTACATAGGTGTGGTGGAAAAATTAACATATTTATTAGATATGCAACTTATATATTTACATGAAAACTAAGAGAAAGATATACTATTAAAGTGGCTACTTTTATTAATGAGATTTGATTTTTATCTATCTTTTATTTCGCCAATTTTTATATCAAATTTAAAATTAAAAGTCCAAAATACACAACAAGTTCTTAAATTAATTTTGATTTTATTTTGACATTTTAATTCAAACTTATTTTAGTTAGATTTCTTTAATTCATTTCCAAATATATTACTTGGTTAATCTTGACTAATTAGTAAACAAAATAAAGTGAGTGATCTTCACTCACAATAATATAGCTAAAATATCTAATAAAATAGACACATGACTTTGGCTAATTAATCCAACATAGCCCCGACCCCCACCCCTAACCCTTCCCTCTCAAAAATAAAAATAAAATTATCTAGCCTCTTCCATCACTTTTCTTCTCCAAATTAAAGGGTAATACATGACTATTTTATTAAATAACTCTCACACCCACCCCTCTATCATCTCTGTCTCATATTTTTCAGAGATGGACATCGATCGTTTCAAATTTTCATCACTATTATGTTTTCTTTTATCAATTTATTTTACTGTTTCAATGAGTGTAGGTGTTAAAATTAATGTAATATTTTAGTGCTGATAGTATTATGGACACACACTTTTATGATTAATAAGAAAGAGTACTAAAGCTGCCTTTTATTATGATGTATTTATTGTTTGGACCTAGAAATTCCTACACAATGTAAATGTCGAAGAAGATCCTAAAATATTAGATATTTTAGATATTTCAATAAATAAATGTATATCAACTAATTAAATATGAGTAATTTAATAGGGATTGTAAAACTTGTTTGTTGGTCAATTATACCGACGACAATGATGATAATTACATCATCATAAGGTTAATAGATGATGGTGGTCGTAATTTGTGAATCAAGCGACGAGAGTTCAATTGAACCTTTTTATTACCTGGAGAACTGACAGCGCTAATTAATTGAACATTCATATGCAAAAACAGATGACAACAATCGAAGACAGAACAGAAATTACAATCCAGGAAAGTAAACAATCGAAAGACATGAGAAATTTTAATAGTTTAGTTAATTGACCAACTGATTCGTTTTTATTGTAATCTCCAATTAAAAAATAAGTAAACAGATGGCAAACTTTTGAATTTTTTTTTCTTTGGGATTCTGTTTCAAATTGATATCGGAAACAGCATAACTTCTACTTGTTGGATAAACATCTGTATTTATATTAACCAAAATCACAAGGCTCTTCTTCATCAATTCTTCCAATGGCAACGTAACGAGTCCGAGGCACAACATTCATCCCTTTTCTATCGAGGGATATCTGCCTCACGTTCTCCAATTCCACATGATTTTTTCTCGAAGAAATTCGAATCAGCTCCCTGAAATCATCACCGCCACTAGACGCAGATGAATTAGCACTGAAACTTCTGGAGGAAGAGGAGATTTGTGTAAAGGCAGGACATGAGCCAATGGCACCTCCGTAGCCCATTCTGCCTGAACAATTCGTCAGGCTCCGGACGTAGCAATCCCTGGCTTTAATTAGAATTCTGATGGGTGCTTTCATACACTTCTTAATTCTGCTTACTTTGTTGGCCTTTGTGCTCATTCTTACGCTTAATTAACAATCGAGCCTTTATGAACAACACTGGAATCGGGAACAAGATGAACAGAATGTTACAAATGGACAAGTACAAAATTAGTACTTGTGTAGGAAAGAAAAATAGGTAAGTGGGCAGCAACTAATTAAAGATTATGGGCATTGTCAAAAGTGCAATTAATATACATCAATTTTTAGTGCTCCCTTCCGAACGTAAGGTTAGAGTTGTTATACCATGTCAAATTAGTTTTTAGATATAACTCGGCCTTAAAAGCTAGCTCAAAAGGTAAGAAGTTCTCTCATTTATAAATTACTAATGTAAGACTTTCTCCATTGTTTAACGCTCCCTCCGTATATTAAAAAAAGATTCACTTTTCCCTTTTAAGTCTATCTAAAAAAAAAAGGCGAAATGATCTGATGACCTAACAATTGTATATGTTTTCTATTCTGAACTCTTTCACTTAACACTTTGTCAACTAATTTCTTAAATTTATTAAAATACAATATTTTAAACTTGTTTCTCATTAAGTCACTGTGTCCATAATTCAATCTCTTAAATGTGTAATTTCATTTAATTTTTCAATGACACATAAGAAATTGTATATCAAGAAAAAAAACAAATATTTAACTTTTGAAAATTTTTAGATAGCGCCATATTTTTCAATTTCCATATATGCTCACATTTTGAGCACCAAATTCATGTCTAATAAATGAAATTTTTTTTTATTTGACTTGAAATTTTAACTAGAAGTTCATAAACACAAATTCTATAAGGTTTTCTATTTAAATTTGTTGCATAAGCTTAATAAACTCCAAAGCCTTGTGAGATCAATTCAATTAATAGCAGACAACACATCATGAGCTTCAAGTATTGTTTATGATTAAGTGATACATATATATTACAGTATTAGTTATTTATGATTAAGTAATAATTATGTATACTTACACATATCATAAATTTCTTAATTTTATTTTATATATATATATATATATATATATATATATATATATATTTATTATATAAGAGTGCAGATACGTCTTTGTCGATGTATCTACTTCATTGTCCTTCTGAAAAAAATTTCAAATAAATTTTCTGAAACTATTTTAATTTAATTAGTATATAATTTTTTTGATATTATGAAATTCTTTTTAGCTAAGAATTTTAAAATCGTTGTGTCTGCTTCATGCTTCAGTGTGTCTCAGAAATTTTTGTAAAAATTATTTATTTTGTTCTACTTTAATTTAATTAGTGTCTCTTATTATCTAAGAGGGAGTTAGTGTTCAAGCATGCACGTCTCAGTCGACATTCCTGTTTTAGTGTCTTTCTGAAGAAAAAAATTAAAAATATTTTTTGGTTCTACTTTAATTTAATTAGTGTATGATTTTTTTCGAAATTATGGAATCCTTTTTAGCTATGACTTTTATTATCAACATGGTTGCTTCAGTGTGTTTCAGAAAAGTTTAAAAAATTATTTCTTTTGTTCAACTTTGAATTAGTTAGTGTATATTATAGAATCAATTTTAGCTCTGACTTTTACGTACTTCTCCGGTGACGTGTCTGCTTCAATTTATTTCAAAAAAAAAATAAAAAAATTATTTCTTTTATTTTACTTTAATTTATTAGTGTATATTCTTTCAAAATTATGAAATCTTTTTAGCTATGACTTTTAAAATCGACATGCCTCCTTCAGCGTGTTTTGATTATTTTTTTTAAAAAAGGTATTTGTTTTGTTCTATGTTAGTTTAATTAGTATAGTTAGTTTTAAATTATAGATTTCACGCGGAAATATGCACGTCTTTATCGACGTGCCTGCTTCAGCTTGTTTTGGTTTATTTATTTTTTTTAAAAATCTACTATAATTTAATTAGTGTATAATTTTTTCAAAATTATGAATTTCACTTTAGCTATAACTTTTAGTTTTAAATTCATATTCTTTAGTTATTGCTTTATTATTCTGAATGTCACTAATATATGTTTATATCTTGTAACAACTTTGAGTAAAAATTAACGGCTGGTGACAAAAATATTTTAACTATAGACATCTTAATAGACCTCTTCACAATTAATTTGCGTAAATAAAAAGTAATTAACCACTTATATATCTAAAAATCATACTCCTTTTGTTCACTTTTATTTGCCATGTTGCTCTTTTTGAAAGTCAATTTGACTAATTTTCGAAGTTAAATTGGATTACATTTATTCGATATTTTAAACATAAAATTTAGATATTCAAAAATATATGAAAAGTACTATAAATTGCAAATTTTGCATATCAATATTATGAAAAAATACATCTTAAAATTTTAATCAAAGTTTTTATAGTTTGATTCTAAAAATAGAAATCATTACAATTAAAAGTGATCGAAGAGAGTACAAAATTTATTCAACTTTCTAAATTCTATGTATATCACATAAATTAAAATAAAAAAATATTGAAATATTGAACCTCTAACAAGCACAAACACATGTACCTAGTATATATATAAAATTACTTTATTCAATCACCTATTATATGAAGTGATATGACTAGTGGTGACAAATGAGCGGGTTGGGTCAAATGTGAGCAGGTTGAAAATGGATAAATAAAAAATGGATAATAATTCAACTGGCTCATATTTGATATGAGTAAAAATTGATTGGGTAAAATATTAATTTATTCATATTTTACCCATGTTTTCATGAATAAATAGTATTTTACTTAAGAATTAAATATAGAAAAGATATTTAAGTCCCTGTTTAGATGAAAAATGTTGAATATTCTTTATTTAGTTTTATTGTACCATAAAATAAAAAGAATCCTATAACTTTCAATATAAAATAAATTTATGTAATAACAAGGCGAAGATATTTTTATTTCAAAGCAAATGAATATTTGCATTTTATAACTAAAACATGTTTAATGCACTTTAAACAAGTCAATACTAATACATGATTTGCTTATTTTACGTTATTATTGATTATCCAATATAAAATTAAATAAATAAATATAATATAATGTAATTATAATTAACAAAAGAAATATACATTTGAATTATATATTTTTGAAGGGTCAAAGATTTCACATTTTTAATCATAAAAAAATAGTTAGTTTTATAGAATAACATAAATAGAAAGAAAAGTTATACTATATTTTTAGTGATATCATGAATTTTGAGTGAACCTTAATTCATAGTTTACCCATATTTTAATGGGTCAAAATATGAGTATCAACTCATTTTAAAGAAAAGATATAAAGTTGTCTCGAATTTTCAAAAAGACACCTCAACTTTGTGGGTGTCTTATTTTCCCATTAAACAATTTAAGAGTGTTATAAATATCTCATTTCTTACCTAACCCCAATTGCAAGAAAAGAGGTGCAATCACGCTCCAATAGTCGTTTGACACGTATTAAGTTCTTTTAATTTTTAGTTTCATTTTCATTTTTATTTTATTAACTTTATTTTCATTTTCCCCTCTTTTTTCTTAAATATTCGTTACTCAAATCTTTTGTTTTTTGTTGTAAATCATCCAAAAGTAGCAATCATAGTCACCTTCAATGTAGCCTCCATGATGCTTCCATGTTACAACATTATTTTCGTCATCAAAACATCGCTAAATAAAATCAATTCAACTCTCAAGTTACTAAAGCAAGGTAATGAGACAAAAAAAAAAAAGATGGAGTTTCATAGTATTCTCTAATCAATGGACTTATTTTTTTTATGAGTTTAATTGCTATCCACCGACGGTGGACAAAAAAATTACACGGACATTTTATTTTTGGAAATATTTAATTTTTTTAATTAATATATTTTAATATTATTAATATTAAAATAAAAATAATAACATAGTGTTATATGGTAACTTGAATTATAAATTAATTGTACAAATTTAATTAGGATTCTTATTTGTCTTACCAAAAATAAAAAATACATAATTTCTTGTGTTTTCTTAGTTGGATTAACGTTCTTCTTTTTCTACAAAAACCATTGAAGCAACCAACTATCCACCATTGAAGCAATTTGAAACAATTATCATGGTAGCGTTTTCCTCGTATATCTTTTTTTACATAACTTATTTAAGTCTTTTTCGCAACATGAATAAACGTTTCAAAGAAATATTCTTGTTTTAAAGTATGAAGAAATTTATGTTTTGTAGTGATGAAGATATTTAAAGAATACGTTTAAGAACTTTTTAGCAAATTGAAGAAGTTCAATACATTAGCCATGAAAAATATTTAAAATTTTAAAGCTAACTTACCCTATCAGTCTAATATCTAATAATTGTGTATTGTAGGAAACTTTTGAAATCTCTAATTTAGAAGAGCAAAATGCAGAAGGAATTGAAGATTCCTTGGAGGATATAGAAAGCAACATGAATGCAGTTGTATCTTTTGTTCCTCAACTAGGTGAGCAAGAATTAAGAGAGCCTTACATCGGTATGGAATTTCAATCACTTGATACCGGATTTAAATTTTATCTTGATTATGCTCATCGTAATGGTTTTAGTGTGCGCAAAAATCGAATTAGTAGATCAAGAAAAGATAAATCCATTATTGGTCAAGAGTTTGTTTGTTCAAAAGAAGGATTTCGTTTAAAAAAATGTAACCAAGCATGCAATTGTGATTAAATCATGGGCCGTATTTAATAGTGTTTGATTTTGTTTGCTTACTCTTATAAGTTTGAATATGTTGATTTTGTTGCACTTTATGTTTGTGGAATAGTTTCATATTAATATTTTGCTAGCATTGCTTCAATGGCAACAAGTACCGGTTCTTATAAAAAAAAAATAATACGTTGGCAATGATTTTCTTTGAAGGATTGAAGTGCTTTCCAATAAGAAAACACAAGAAATTATGTATTTTTTATTTTTGGTAAGACAAATAAGAATCCTAATTAAATTTGTACAATTAATTTATAATTCAAGTTACCATATAACACTCTGTTATTATTTTTATTTTAATATTAATAATATTAAAATATATTAATTAAAAAAATTAAATATTTCCAAAAATAATATGCCCGTGTAATTTTTTGTCCACCGTCGGTGGATAGTAGTTAAACTCTTTTTTTATTTAAAAAAAAGATATAAGAAGAAAAAGAAACAAAGAAAAGCAAGAGACAAGAAAAAAAGTGATAAAAATGGATGAAATAAATGGATCTTCTAAGTTGAAGAAGATGAAGAAAAGATAATTGAATTTTTGAATTTTAGTGAAGAAGATAACGAGGAAGATGAGGTAAATTGATTAAATAATTAATATTAAAGGAATATAATGACACCTGACACTTTATAGCTTGTTATGGTAGAAAAAAATTGGGTCACGCGT